ATGGGGAAAGGGGTGCTATTTATAGCAGCAATAAATGCTAGATAGGGACACGTGTCATCATTCTGGTGGTCAAGGGGTCACCTCAACGGGGTGGCACTCACATTCGCTATGGCCGCATTAAATGCGGCAGTTGGATGTGACGTTTGTACTTCGTACGTTGATCCAGCGCATGTGGGTGGAAGATTCTGTCGTGGAGATGCCTTCAGCTGTAGATGACTAGCTGAAGGCTCTTCATCCCGGGGGCCTTTAGGTGCCGAGAGCTACTGTTTTCGCCGTTTTCTCCCAGTAACTTCGAGTGCTTAAAAGCAGCTGTTCTGTAAGTTTATGAGCCTTCGGCCATGGGGGCCGAAGGCATCCCAGTGTTCGTCGTGGGCTGTTTGGCACTTAGGGCGCTGTGATCTCGGCCTACCGTGCTTCTTGGGCCTATTGGGCCTTCGCTATAGTAGTGGGAGTCTATGGACCGAGGGTTCCTGGGCCATATACTCCATCACTTATATTTATGTATCTTCATTTTATTCATTTTATGTTACTTTAAAAAGAGCGAGCCGGGTAGTCCACTGGGCCGCCCGGCCCGGGAATACTTTATTTTTTTCAAAATTATATGATTTTTAAATACTTTAAAAATAATATTACAACATTTAGAAAATAGTTAATACGCTTATAATGTTTATACGTCTTTCACCACATACATAAAAATACTTACACAAAAATAATAATGAGAAACTATATCTAAAATTTAAAATTTAAGCACAAAGTATTATCTTTAAGTACAAAAATAGATATTATATTGGTTGGGCTAGTTGTTAAGAACTAAAAATTTAAATTTAAACATAATAAACTATAAATATGTATAAAGAAAAATTAGTAAATATAAATATACATGTGTATATGCAAATAAATAAATAAATTAGTGTGTGTGTGTATATATATATATATATATATATATATATATATATATATATATATATATATATATATATATATATATATATATATATATATATATATATATATATATATATATATATATATACTAAATGTAGCGGGCCGGGCTTATCGGCCCGAACGGGCCTACATCCTAACGAAGCCCGCCCATATCTTATTGCGGGCCAGGCTCGGGCCGGGCCGGTGGGTAAATATATATGCCCAAGCCCGCCCATTTGTGCGGGCGGGCTGGGCGGGCCGGGCCGGTTTTGTCCAGGTCTGATCGATTCATGTTAGCCGACCTCAAATTCTTTTGGGATTAAGGCTTGGATGTTGTTGTAATGAGTTTAATGTGTTAAGAGACAAATATTTAAAGGACACTTAAGTAAATCACCAAATATGCAATATAAGATATCATTCAACCAAACAATTTAATGTCACATTCCCTTAATCGTAACCAAACACAAATGAGTTATACATTAATCACATTCCCATCTATCTAACATACCCGGTAATCTAACATTCTCGTGGTAATATGACATTCCTTGAACCAAATAGACATTACTAGTCTACCACCCTTTAAACGAGATTATATTTAGAGATCTCTTCTATTTATAGTTACACTTTTGATATAGACAACCCTTATATTTCTTTTTCATAAATTCCAAACATTATAAAGGGAAAAGTGTCAGTTTCGTCTTTTTACTATTGATGGAGTATATTCCCATATACCCCAGGGGTATCATAATCACCGCATAAAACGTCACGGATCTACTCCGGAGCACATAAAACTACTAAATCCACAACTGAGACCGACCCCGACCGACCAAGGTCGGGACAAAGCACCAGGCAATGTCAGCTAAGGACCGAAGGGCCAGCTGACCCCGACCTCGATCACCGAGGTCGGGAAAACACCAAGCTCAGGAATCAACCAAACTCGACAAGTTATGAGCCCGACCTCGAATGCACCGAGCTCGGGACCAACTCTGACCTGAGGCGTCAACACATGGTCAATTAGAGTCAAGCACAAAGCAGTCAACGTTCTCGAAGACGGAACTAAAGACAGAAGGCGAATTCCCCAACGAAGAGCTTGAGTTCCCAAATACTGACCTCAATGAGCTCAGGGTCTGACTAAAGCATTATGGACTTAGACAAATTCACAAGGACAAGCATCACAGAAAGACGCTGCCACGTCACTCCCAGCAGCGGGTAATATTCCGGATTGCACATGCATAACCACACGGGCATTCAAGTAACAGCTTGTTACAGGTAGTTCCAACAACCAGCTGTCCTGGACTATCTCTCCAATCACCTTTACACGTGGCTGCTCCTCATCGACTTAGACTGTTAGTTTGTTAGAATAGATTGGACATGTGTCCTCTTCTTATTAGATCAGCATCTTTTTACTTGGGCACCAAGTATTGCCTATTTCAGTATAAATATCACCTTCCAGCTTGTGGAAAGGGATCACATTTTATACTCTCTTACTGTTACTCTGCTAAATTGCTTACTTGTACTTTCCGATCAGCTCCTCTCTCTCGTTTTACTTGGATTCCGGCTACCCCCCAATTCGGTGATCCATCATTTTTTGTGCTTTCATTAAGAGCTGAACTGTGAATCAGGTGAGATCCTCCCACTTTTCCTAAAGCTACAACAAGTTTTCCTCCTTAACAATGGCTCGAAAGAGAGTTGCGAGAAACGGACGTGTTGTTGTCGTTGTCGCCCAAGCTGAACCCTCACTGGAAGCCACTGCTACTTCTGGCGCCAGGAGGGCCGCCTAGGGAAAACAAGCCGCCCAGGCTTCTGCTGATCAGCGCAGCCAGATCCAGCGCACTTCCCCTGATCTCCGCTAACAAATCTCGCGATCCAGTTCAGATCAGACCGGACTTGGATAGTTATAAAAATACAAAGAAACCAGACCAGACCAGTTCAGACCAGACCAGACCAGCAAATTTCAGTCCAAGTAAAAACATCCTTAGTATACACACACTAATAAATAAAATGGTTACTAATAATATTTCAAATAAAAAAAATACAAACTAACACACACACACATATACACATAATAATACATAAAGTTATTAGTTGTAATTCTTCAATTAAAAATACACACTAATACATACGTACCGTATAAGTGATATTGATCGAGATATTAAGATATCCTAAACCTAATACACATTTTTCGGCATTTATGTGTAATGATAAAGTGTGGAGTAGGCAAAGCCCAATATTTGTTTTTAAATATTAATATTATTATATCACTATCATATATAATATGTTTTTATACTCTCACTAGTCCAAGAGATCTTTTTGTGACCTAATTTCAAGTCTATTCTACGAGTTTTATGTGCTAGAGAAAGCTAAACAGAGCATGGAGGTATATGTCTCTACAAGAATCAATACTTTATTGGATAAAAGTATTGATTTTCTATGAGAAATCTTGATATTTTTTATAGTGAAGATACATTTTGTTTTTAAGTTTGCGTACGTTACTTTATGATGTTACTTTTTGTTTTTAAGCTAAACAAAGCGTGGAGTTTTCATGTTACTTTTCACAAAATTTATAATATTATGCATATCATACTTATTGACGGGTCTACCCAACCCAGTTCCGAAACCCATTGGATCTGGGTCTAGATCCAAATTTTCAGACCCAACGGGTAAACGTGTCGGGTCCGAAACCATTAATAACTTAGTGGGTCGAGTCTGGAACACTACATTCCAGCCCAGACCCAACCCATTGACTAGGGATGGATTCAGTTCGGGCCACCCGGCCCGGTACTGTGCGGGCCCGGGACCAACCCGGTCGGGCGGTCCGAGACCGGGTATGGACCCGAACCGATGGGAAGGGGCGGAGGCGGGCTCGGTTCTGGATTTTTGTGACCCGGCCCGGCCGGGTCGGGCTCGGGTCCGGGTCTATTTTTTAAAAAAAAAAACTTTTTTTTGTTTGGTTTGGCTACTAGCCGTTGGGGCCTTGGGGGTGGGGCTGGGGACAACCCAAACGGCTACATAGCCGTTGGGTGGGGTAAAGGAGGGTCCGGGGGGGTTGGCTGGTGGGGGGGTAAAAAAACCTATAAATACTCCTAATCTTAAACATTTTTTCATCTCTTCTCCAATTCTTCCTAAATCCTATTCTTAACTCTCTACTCTCTAATTCTCTTATTCTCCAATATATTATATTTATTATTTATATATCTACTTTATAGTTTATACTTAAGAAGTTAAGATGGAAAATCAAGATGCCATTATACGGTATAATTTTGATAAGCAGAAGGACCCGAAGACCGGGATGTGGTACGCAATTTGCAAATGGTGCTTGAAAAAATGTAACATGGGAGCTTCATGCGGATTTGAGATGGCAATCAAGCATATGAAGTCATGTGACAAAGCCAAAGGATCGGGAGGTGCGGGAAATTCCGATTGATTACAATTTTCAAAATGTTTATCTCTTAAAGTTTGTTTTAATTTTCAAATGTAGTTCCTATTTCATTTCAAATAAATGCAATTGAAGTTTGTTTTTAATACTCGTATAAAACTATAAACCGGACCCGTCCAACTCTCAGGCGGGTCCAAGGCCCACTATTCTTGAACCGACGGCCCGACCGGGCCTAGGTCCGGCCCGAACCGGCCCGAATCCATCCCTGCCATTGACAGGCCAACATGCCTAATTGCAAGGCTAGAAATATAGGTAGAAAACTCCCTTGGACTGCAACGGTACAGGACCGGACCGGCCCGATGATCCAGGACTAGTTCCAGACATAGGACTAGCCTGAGGGTTTTTTAGGGAAAGTTCCTGGGCTGAGTAAATAGGGACCATCCCCGGTCTTTTTTTTTGTTTTGGTTTTTTAGGCTTTGTGCGGATGGGCCTATGGTAAGTGGGCTGGGCAGGGTGTTTTGGCGGGGTTTGGGGGTGAGGGTGGGGGTTGGAAACTTGGAATAAATAAGAAAAACTAAAAAAAAAATAAAAGAACCAGCCTGGCCCAGTACCGATTGATTCCTGAGCCGGTGCTGGGCTTCACCCCAGAAATCAAGCCTGCCCGGACCCGACCAAAAACCGAACCGGGCCATCCCTTTTTGGAACATCTGTCTACAATGTTCAATTAATAAGTTCATGGCACAAAACCATATGTATAGACTAAATACGAATTCCTGGGAGAAGTTTAGACAACCACACTCTAACGCCCCTCTGAAAAGTAACTCATAAAAATATGACTCCTTAATAACTAAATAATTACATCCACATGTATCATACTATCATGGATTTACTAATATTAACAAAAGAGACTTGCTCAAATTTAACTGACTTTAAAATATAAATATAAATAACCGGTCAAGGTCTTTCACATTAACTCATCATGCCACACCACCGTTCAAATCGATCATTGTCTTCCTAGATCGGTATCTGTACATGCGGAAAAACACTTGTAAGAAACACTTGATAAGCCACTACGAATCCACAAACAAAACATTCCACACGTGTCACGTCTATGATAATTGTGAATAGATAAGCTTTGGCCATAAGTCTTAGCAGAATTGGCAAATATGTCGCAAATGACTTCAAGGCAATTAACTTTCTCAAGGAAATCTATAAAAAAACTCTTTTCGAGTTGTCCTTAAAAAGATCTAAAAGAGTATCTTCTAATGTTTACTAATACATAATTAAAGATGATTAAAGTCAAAATTGTGTGTTTGCAAACGTGAAAGTCAAACTTTCTAAAAATTGTTTAAGCTTTCAAATGTGATCTCAAACTTTCTAAAAATTGTTTTTGGAAATGTTTTCTGGAGAGACCTCAAAATCTCTTCTAAAATAAAATAACTTGCTAAAAGAGATCTCAGTATTACTTAATATCTGTACTCAATGAAGTCATTTCGACAGTTCAGGGGAGCAACTCACAGAGCATCAAAATTATTATTTTTGATAACTCTTCGCTTTAAATATTGATTCTTTTTATGGTGGCATTTGATTAAAACATCATTAAACAACTTAAAGTGACATAACTAACATGACCTTAAATATGCCAAAGAAGTAGTGGATCACAAGTTCAACAAATAAAACAACTAATCACATATTACCACAAGTACATATTATTATCTATTTTAAAAGCAATCAATCTTCTTTCTTTTGATTGAACTAGTGGATCACAAGTTCAACAAATAAAACAACTAATCACACATTACCACAAGTACATATTATTATCTATTTTAAAAGCAATCATACTTCTTTCTTTTGATTGAACAAGCCTGTACAGGTAGTGAACTTAAATGTTAAAACATGAACTCAAAATATTGAAGTAAGTGTGGCACCTTGGATAAGTGTTCAAGTAAGCACTGCTGTTAATTAACGGTTGAAATTGTAAATTAGAAATTTCAAAAGTCAAAACATCCCTCTTCTTTTTAAAACAATGGTTCGAAGTCGGATGCCTCACCGCTATAGTGCAGGAGCTTAAAATATAAACCCTAAATCGAGGCTCTGCTCCCACAAATTCCAACACAAAAACTTCAAGAAATCAATTGTGCAGCCATGCATATCATAGCCTCTCATGCAAGAATTATTTCATTTGAATGGCCATTGACAGATAAACCAAAAGCTTCATAAACCCAGAAAGACATCTGGAAATTGGTGATCCAAGGCTCGGAATAGTTCTCTTTAAATGGAGAGTATGCCATTTTGGGAAAGGAAAAAAGAAAGGAGCAACTGCTAGGAGGAATGTGACCAGCTTTTCAACGGGTTTAATAAAGGCTATGTGTATACAAACACACAAGTTTTAGTCTCTAAAAAATGTCAGTCGGGCCAAATTAACTTATTTGGGTCTCTAATGATCTTCAAAAAAAAGTTCAGATCCAACTTGAAAGGATTCACCCTTTTAAGAATAAACCGCTACTATGTAAAAATATACTATCCTCCGTTCCGTTTTAATCACAACATGTTGAATTTTACACTATTCATATGCTCTACTTTGACTACATTTTACGCTATTATTTTATGAAAACTTAACTATTTTTTTAATAAAATATTGTTCAATTCATCTTATTATAAATTTTCAAAATCTGATTTTTAATACTACGTATTTTTTTACTAACAGAATTAAGATATAATTATGGTCAAAGACGTGCGTTGGCAAATGTGAAATATTGACCATTGCAACTAAAAAAGAACAGAGGGATTATATATTTATTCATTATAAATTATTAGATCTTACAGGTCAACGATGTTATCTGCCACAAACAAAATATGATGAAATAATAAATTACATCATTCATGAAAGTGGCACATGGTTGTCGATGGCGCAATATGGCGCGCGCGCCATGCGCCATGAGGCGCGAAATACCCTATGCGCCATGAAAACGGGCTGTGGCGAGATGTATACACATGGCGTCGCCGTCTGCGCCTTCGCCATTCCTACGCCTTCGCCATGGCGCTGCGACTGGTTTTTTAAAAAATGGGTCCGCTTTTTGAGCTGTGAGTTGTGGAGTTTTGGGCCATAACAATCTATTTTAGCCCATAACAACAATAAAACTCTAACATAAACTTACTATTTTAGCCCATAATACTAACAACAACCCTAACTACAAATAAATAAACACAACAAAGTGATAACACGTGAGAAGTTAAAGCTGCTGCAAGCCTGCAACGGAAAAAGCTCTGCGACAACCGAAAAGGCAAACGACAAGGGGATTCTGTTGACTTCTTCCAACTACAAAAGGTACTACTACCTCTTTAATGTTGTGTATTAATGAAGAAAAGTTCAGTTAATGCTGTGTACTCAACTTTACTGTGAATGGTCTAAACTTAAATGTGCATGCCTGCATGGATTAACTAAAACAGAGACTTTCTATGGTATATATATTATGTAAAGTTTAAACTTAAAGATAAAGTGTTTATGAATGTATAACATAAAGTTAATTAATGTTTAAACTTTATATTTTGAGTTTAAACTAAACTTTACAGTTTATACTAAAGTTTTAATATGTAAACTTATTAAAGTTTTAATAAGTTTTAATATGTAAACTTATTTTGAGTTTATATTATGTAAAGTTTAAACTTAAAGATAAAGTGTTTATGAATGTTAAAACTAAACTTTTGAGTTTACACTGTAAGATGCTTTAATAGTTTGTTTTATGTGTAATTGTCTATCAATTTATAATAGTTGAGAGTTGAGATTTTAAATACTCATACTGTTGGCAGAGGTAACATTGATCATTTTTATTTTAATTTACATTAGATGATGCTCATTGATATTTTTTATCTTAGGTAACCGAAGAGGCAGAGCAAAGGATATCAGTTGCCTTTGCTAAGGAGCTGTGTCAGAAAGTGAAAGAAAACAACAACAATGAAGTGCGCTGCAACTACTGTGGGCACGTGACGAAAGGTGGAATTACAAGGTTTAAACAACACTTGATTGGGAAGCACCGCAACACAACACAGTGTGAACGCATTCCCGCTGATAAGAAGGCTGAACTGCAGGCGTTAGTCTTGAAAGAATCTGCTGCTAACTTAGAAAAAAATGTGTGTGAACAAACCTTTCGAAGTACATACACAGTACAGCAGTCCGGTGGGTCAAGTGCAAATAGGGTGATCGGAGATGATGATGTTGAGATAACTGGTTCTCAGTCAAATGCAGAGGGAGGTGGTGTGACTGGGCCTATGGATAATTTCGTATATCCAACAAAAAAACGTAAGAAGGAGGCATTGACGCAAACAACAATCCCATCACACATGAAGAAAAAAGAGAGGGATGAGTATGCTCAAAGCCTTTGTTTGTGGATGTACAGGAACTGCATCGCCTTTAATGTAGCTCGTGACCCTTTGTGGAAAGAAACACTAGAAAAGATTGGCAGGTTTGGAGCTGGGTTTAAAGCACCAACGTATCATGAAGTGAGAGAGACGTTCTTGCGAAAAGAGGTCGCAAAAACAGATCTTGTGGTTAGTGAGCACAAAAAATTATGGGAATTAGATGGCTGCACTATTATGTCAGATGGGTGGCAGGATAAACGGCATAGAACTCTAGTGAACTTTTGCGTGAATTCTAGCAAAGGGACGGTGTTTATGAAAGCCGTAGATGCTTCATCTTACAAGAAGACCGGGGAAGCACTTTTCAAGCTTTTCGATGAGTGGATAAAAGAAATAGGTCCTCAAAGTGTCATACAAGTTGTAACCGACAATGCTAAAAATTATGGATTAGCGAAAATGAAGATAGAACAAAGATATCCACATATCTTCACGACGGGGTGTGCAACTCATTGTCTTGACCTTGTTCTAGAAGACTTTTCAAAGAAGATGTCGATGGTTAGAAGAACTGTGAAGACGGCACAAGGGATTACTACCTACATCTACAGCCATACCCTTATTCATGACTTGATGAAAGAATTTACCAAGGGTAGAGAGTTAGTTAGACCAGCTGCCACACGGTTTGCCACTAACTTTCTGACTCTTCAAAGTCTTCTCACGCAGAAACAGGCATTGAGGCAGATGTTTGCTTCACCGAAATGGTATCAAAGTGAGTTTGCAAAAACTACGGAAGGTCAATCTTGTTTTGAGTCAATTTATCGTCAAAGCTTTTGGAGGAGTGTTGCCTATGTTATGAAGATTTCATTGCAAGTAGTGAAGGTATTGAGAATTACGGATGGAGAGTTGCCTGCAATGGGCTTTATTTATGAGGCTATGGAGAGAGCAAAATTGGGAATAAAAAACACATTGGGAGGTAAAGAAGAGAAATACATGCCTCTTTGGAAGATAATAGATAAGCGTTGGAATGAGAACCTGCATTCTCCATTACATGCAGCGGGGTATTATCTCAATCCTCAATTCTTCTACCCTAATTCACGGCGAATCCTCGGAGATGAAGAAGTATGCGATGGCTTTATAAAGTGTGTGGAGAAGATGTTGCCCACTAGCATTGGAGAGAGTGTAGAGTTCTCAACTGAGATATCAAACTATACAAATGGTAGAGGAAGTTTCAGAACTAAAATGGCAATGAACAATAGGGACAAACAACCACCGGGTATGCAAACTGTAATCTGTCTTCTCTTTCTTATTTAAGTATTTTAATTAACTTTCTGCTAGAACTAATTTTGTAGGTTTATAGATACTGGATTTAAACTTTTTGGAAACTGGAAAGTCCTAAATTGCAACCTACTATCCTACAACCTACTGTCTGGATAATGGAATCTGAAAACCTTAAATCTGAATATTTTAAGCATGAATGTATGATTACTTGATTAGTAAATTATTTTAAGTACCAAATGTGAGTGACTAAGTGTTGAATGATGGCTAGCACTTGTTGTAGCCTGTAATTGACTGCAAGATTGGAATGGAAAGCTGAAATTTTAAATCCTGAAATCTGAGTATTGTTTTCTACATTATTAATTAGCATTTGGTTGGAATTTTTAAATATAGTTGACTGGTGGCTTTCAAATGGCTCCTCGTCTCCTACATTGCAACATCTTGCTGTTCGGATCCTTAGTTTAACTTGCAGTGCTTCTGGATGTGAACGAAACTGGAGTGCTTTTGAAAATGTAAGTTCATAAATCTGCCTTTCATATTTAATTCAACTATTTAAGTTATCCGTAGTTGATTTGTTATCTACTTGTTTTAGGTTCAAAGCAAGAAAAGGACAAGGTTGCTGCCAAAAAAATGAATGATTTGGTATACATTCGGCAGAATCAACGTCTTCAAGATCCAGCTTTCAAAAAAATGAAAGTATGTTTGGATGACATTGACGATTGCAATGAATGGATTGATGAAGCTGCTGAGCAAAATGAAATGGAAAACTGGGATGTAGTGGAAGAAGTTGTTGATGTTAACGAAGCAAATCACAACACAAGAGCAACAACATCAAGGGCATCAACACTTCAGCTGCACGACGAAGAGGAGACAGAGGAGGCGGAGGAAATGGAGGAAACGGACGAGGTTGCAGATCCCTCCGAGGATGAAATGAATGAGGATGGTGTGCCATTGCTATCAGATTCAGACGAAGATGATGAAGAGTCTGATGATTGATGATGATTATGCCATAATCATCAAACAAAAACAAGCTAACAAGCCTAAATCCTAACATATTTTGCAAGACAGAAACTTTTTTTTTGAATATTATGTTTTTTGGAAGCACTTTGAACTATTTTATCATGTTTTGGTGGTTGGGAAAACTTGGGTAAACTTTAACTATTATTCGTTTTGAATTTTTTTTTGTCACGTGGCGACGCCATATTTGCGCCATCGCCATCGCCATGGAAAATGACCTGTGCGCCATGGGTTGCGCCATGCGCCATGACAACCATGAAGTGGCCTAATTAATGCATTAACAAAATGCAGTAATTAATATGAATATAACATGCCCTAAACAATAGGGGAGTCACACACACATGTTTTCATTTTTTTATACATGCAAAGCATGTATAAAATTTCAATTTGCGAAGTGCTGAACAGGTGTAGTGCTTTATCATCCTCTAGGAAAAGGGTTATGGATAAGGCGCAGGAGAAGCACAAGAAGCGCAAGCCTCTAGTATCTAGGTTGGGAAAGGCTTTTTGAGCTATTTTTCAATTTTCAATAGGGAATTAGATATATTTTATTCAAATAATAGGGAAACAACAATACAATCCAATCATCATGCAAAAATAGGTTAAGGCAAGGCAGTCAAATGGGCTACAACCTAGCAAAAATCAATCTTTAGTCTTATGTTTACGTAATTACTTCTCAATTTATTTATTTTTGTTGTGAATCAAGACTTTGCTTTAGTGAAACATTTTTAAATGCATTTCATTCAATCTGATGTTACATATATCTTGTTTGATAATTCTAGAACGGTACACATAATAACTGGAATGCATGTTCGGCAATATTAATTGACAAACACATTCCAACGTTCCAACATATCTTATAAGTACTTTAATGCCTTAAAAAGCAGATTGTATCCTTGGAATAAAACAAAAACTGCTATTGTGCAAAGCAGGTCCACTTGAGTATATTTTTCGAATACTTCCTCTGTTTTTTGTTGATATGTAGTGTTTCTGAGGTCTACTTTTATTTCCTATTTTCTAATTTGGCAAGCTTTGCCCTGAGTTTTATTCTTTACTTTACATAACACCTTTGGTACTCCTATTTTATATCTTTTTATTACGCTTTCTACTCTCTGGCCATACATGTGGTTAGGTAGGGGAGTACAAGATAATTCCTTCATGACAGAGGAAAGCATTCCCAAATACAGGGAAAATAACTTGAAATTATAATCAGAAGACTTACTTTACATAAGAGCACGTTTGCTCTGAGTGATATGACTTTTGTTTCTTAGGGTCTGGTTCTTCAGATGGAGCAAAGAGTCTTTGCTCAATACTGGCCCACACTTCTCTAAATGATTTAGCCTAATTCAATGGAGAAACTTAGTGGTTTAAAAATAGCAAAAATAGGGGTGGGGAAGCTGTACGACTTCAGCAAACCTGATTGAGTAAAGAATCAAGAAAATCTCCCAATTCACGGTGGCAAGAGATCTATACAAACAAACTTAGGATTAGGTGCAATGAGAATGGCAATAATTACAATATGTATTTTGCTACAAATCAGAAAGCAACGTATTACCATTTCAGATTGTTCGTGAAACCTCTTTCTAATAGCAACCCGGGCACAATAAGTCTCCCAGATTGCTTCCATAGCATCTTCAACCAAGTTTTTATATTCTTTACTTACTCCTCTCCCCACAAGCATTTTAATCTCTAGGCACATATCTTCAAATGGCAACTCTTTAAAAATCTATAATAGAGACATAATAAATACTCCAATCAGAGAAACAGCATGAACAAAGAATGATTGAATGGAATTAGTCAAGGCATAAGAATACTTCAACCAAGGTCACAGCGTGTAAGCAAGGTGCGGCGTCAACGAGCCGCCTTGTCACCTCTAGGTGACATCTAGGCATCAAGGAGACGTGTGATGTGATATGGTATGGTACAGCATGGTACGGTATGGTAAGATATCATTAGATATTATATGCTCCAAACAGAGACAACATAAGCAAAGAAGGAAAGAAACAAAATTGTTCACAAGTAGATATTCTAGCCTTCAATTGATTGTCCAAGTGCCTCTTAGAGTGTGAAAGGTTCAGAGACATTTTTCCTTCTTCAGCAGATTTCCCATCTTGATCATCTTGATTTTCAAGCTCTTTCATCTTCTTGAGGATGTTATGCACAACATCCTGAAATTTGGTGGATTCGAACCACACAAACTGTCAAAAGAAAAGCCATAAAAGAACATGTATCATTTTAAGAGATTTTAAGTAAGGCAAAGTTACAGACGCAATAAAGTGATAGAATGGTGTGAGGTAAGGTTCCAACGCATCATTGAAATGACTTTTATTTCTTAAAAGGAACAAAAGTACTGGTGAGCATAAAATACCAAACGCCTTTGAGGGTATTTAACACAATATGCTACGGAGTATAAAAAAGTACTCTGTACTACGTATTTGTTAGGAACAAAAGAAATGAAAAGATATAAGTTTTTGGCGGATATCTTTCTTCAATAGATTTCAATGCATGCTCTGGATTGCAAGGTTGATGATTGAAGAGACTAAATGATATCAGAAGACTTTCTACATGTGTATCTAGAATATTCCTAAATCTCTATAATCTAATGTCTTACCATAGCATATATTTTCTTATCAAGATGACTGGGTTTATCATCATGACCCTCACATTCATCTTGAAGCACAAATTTATCCAGTAACCCTTCATTTACTAGGAAAGTACCAGTTTGATTGAATACAACTCTTATATGTTCTTCAGATTTAATTCTTGTGAGCGGGACCCCAGACTTCTGAAACAAATATATCATAAAACACATTACAGGTAGCAAACTTCTTACTTCAAAATTACACTGAGGACGACAGTGAAATCACTCACCTAGTGTAGACTTTTAAGGCTATGTTGAAGACAAGTCCATGTCTCTGTTGTCTCCAAAAAGGCCGATGAAAGATTCGTAAAGCTTTGGAGATCAAAAAACAGTTGTTTATAAGGTGCCTGTTTACAAATAAATGAGTGAACAAATCAATCAATGAAATGAATGAGTAAATGAATGACGAAATGCAAATATAGATCGATAGACACATAAATAAATAGATAAATAAATAAATAAATACATAGATAGATAGATAAATAAATAAATAAATACATAAATAAATAAATAAATAAATAAATAAATACATAAATAAATAAATAAATGCATAAATAAATACATAAATAAACAAAAAAAAAACATATAATTAGTTAAGCGTGGAATATTGTGCGTGGTTTTTCTACGTACCCGGATTAGGGCAAATTTGGACTGTAGATAGTTCTCAAATTCCACAATCGCCTTTGTCTTCTCCGAACATTCGTTGCAGGGGCAAACCTTCGAAAAATCATATTTAAGTGGCTTTACCGGTGGCACAATCGCCGTTATACCGCAAGGCATTCTTTACAAATAACGACGGAGAGGAAAGGCCGGATGATGAGGGGAAGGAGATGGGCGTGAGTCTGATTAGGGTTTTCTGGATGGGCCGGATATGCAAGATAATACTCCCTTTCAAATAAAAAAATTGTGGTTCTAATTCATTCTCTCTCCTATGCACAAAACACAATCACACAGATTTTACTTTATTATTTCTTGTGCCGGTCAAACTTGGCAAAGTTATTAGGGACGGAGGGAGTATCTTATATTTGTCGGAATTTGATGCCCGGGATGTGAGATATCTATGTTTGGTTCGTATGTTTGATATTTTTTAGGGAATCTTACATTCCCAAAAGTGAAAAAAGTAATCACATTATCAGTTATCTTAAACCCACTAAGGCCTTAGGTTATGTTAGATTCCTCGTTGCTTATTAACTTTCTTCCAAAAAAACCATGCTTCAATTAATCAACAATATCATACTCCCTCTGTCCCGAAAAGTTTCGACAAATTGACTTTTCTTGATCAATGACAATCAACTTTGGCTAATGATATTTTTTAATTTGAAATTAATTTGAATATGAAAATTATATCAAAATGTTCCTTATTCAAAATATTATCATAAAAGTATAAAATTTAGAAATTGTATAAAAATATAATAATTAAAATCATTGTCCAAAGTTCATCATTATTGACCAAGAAAAGTAAATATTTTGTGTAAAATTATTTACAAATGTTCACTAATCTTAGTCATTTGTGCAATTAAACATACTTTGATTAAAATTAATTCAATTAGTGTTGATTTTAATTATTACTAAGATGTTTTATTTTTCTATAATTTTAATTACTTTAATTATAGGTTGTAATGAGTTTAATTAGGCCGGCATTAATGTATGGCGTAGAGTGTTGGACGGTGAAGCAATGCCACATTCAAAAGATGAGTGTGACAGAGATGCGTATGTTGTGTTGGATGTGTGGACATACCAGAAAAGACCGCCTGAGGAATGAGGTAATCAGACAAAAGGTGGGAGTAGCACCTATAGAAGATAAGATGCAGGAGTCTCGTTTGCGGTGGTTTGGGCATGTGCATAAAAGACCGGGTGATGCACCTGTTAGACGACTTTAGGGGTGGGGAGAAGAGTCAGAGAAGAGAGGGAGAGGAAGACCCAAACAGACTTGGATTAGAGTAATCAGAACTGATATGCGTCTTCAATTCTAGGGTTGAATGAGAGTATGGCTTTGGAGAGAGCAAATTGGAGGGCGCACATCCATGTGGACGATTGATGTCTTGTCTACCTTTCCTCTCTTGTTTCTTTTATCGTTTATCTTCCTTATTTTTTTATATTCTTGTGTTATTTTTATCTTCTAGCTTTTTCATGCTCTTTTATTTATTTTTCTTTTATCTTGGTTATATTCTTGTGTTATTGTTATCTCATTGATGGATGAGTGTACCCGGGGGGTATCTATCTGAGGGGTTACTGCGGGAGTAACTTAGAGAGAAGTCAGAGCAAAAGTAGAGAGAGAGTGTATATTAATATCGAGTGTATTCAGTGTATTGAGCGTGGTTTACAAATGGGGAAAGGGGTGCTATTTATAGCAGCAATAAATGCTAGAGAGGGACACGTGACATCATTCTGGTGGTCGAGGGGTCACCTCAACGGGGTGGCACTGGAATTCGCACGTGGCCGCATTAAATGCGGCGGTTGGATGTGACGTTTGTACTTGGTACGTTGATCCAGCGCATGTGGGTGGGAGATTCCGTCGAGGAGATGCCTTCGGCTGTAGATGACTAGCCGAAGGCTCTTCATCCCGGGGGCCTTTAGGTGCTGATGGCTCTAGGTGCCGAGGCTACTGTTTTCGTCGTTTTCTCCCAGTAACTTCGAGTGCTTAAAAGTAGTTATGCTGTAAATTTATGAGCCCTCAGTCATGGGGGCCGAAGGCATCCTAGTGTTCGTCGTGGGCTATTTGGCACTTAGGGCGCTGTGATCTAGGCCTGCCGTGCTTCCTGGGCCTCTTGGGCCTTCGCTATTGATGGAGTATATGGGCCTGGACCCCATGGCCCACATACTCGGAAGGACAGAAGGTACCACGATCACCTGGTGGGACCCTCGTCGGCCAGATGACCTCCATCGGCCAGAAAGCAGTCTAACTCAGAATACGGTCCAGAAGCCAGGAGAACCAGGTGACCTCATCGGCAGGGTCCTCGTCGGTCGTGCCCTCGTCGACCGTGCCCTCATCGGCCACGATCGGCCCCCAGAATAGGATTTTACACTTAATCATTTCTACGCACATTGTATTCGGCCCAATAGCGGTCCAGTTGAAAATGGGCCTCCCAAGCCCAAGACTTGGGAGCCCAGCCCGTATTTTCCCTATAAATACTACCTCTGGGAGTAGTTGTAGGGGTGACAAAATCATTCTATTGAAGCATTTACTTGCACTTCTCTCTCTAGCTGTCACTTCTCTCTAGATATATACTCTATCATTTGGTGCTCTCGTTGAGAGCTAGAACAATCAAGTTAGCACCCTTCGTCGCTACCAAGCACAGCTAACCACTGATCATGGGAAGAACTAAGTCAAACCGCAACCTCGTCAGCAAGGCCATCCCTGAGGACCAGGAGACCAGGGAGCGCGAGGAGGACGCCACGGCCGACCAGGTCGGAGGAGGGGACGTCTTCCAGGAGGCCATCAACCTCACGACGGACCTACGCAACCAGCTCAACGGCGGCGCCCCTGATGCCCGCATCGGGCTAGACAAGAAGCGTGCAGAGAAGACAGACCACGTCCCGGCCCAGCCTATGGCCGCGACTTCCCCGTTTGTGGATCCACAGGTTCAGGCCGCGTTGTCGGTCATCATCGCCAGCTTGGCTCAGAACCCCACCGTCCTCAGCGCACTCTTGCCAAGGACTGGGGGAACGTCACTCCACCTCCTCAGCCCCAACCGTTGGCCACCAGGATAGGCAACGATGAGGGGGTGATAGCCCAGGACACGGCGTCGTCCCACTCCCACCCCGCTTCCCCTCTTCGGCCTGGACAGACCCCAGCGCGTGGAAAAGCCTCTGCCTTCAATAGGCTGGGTGACACGAGCCGTCGTCCGGTTTCGGAGAGGATGGCGGGACGGATTGGTGAGCGTCGGCCTGGCTCGCCAAGGGAAAGCTTGGGGTCTGTGTCCCGGACAGCGGACCAGCCCCGCCTGGACAAGGGCAAGGGAAAGTTGCACGAGGACGACGTGCGCCACCAGATCAATGCGGCCCACGAGGGGCGCATGCAGAACCAGCAGGGCGCCGCTGCAGCCGCCAGGGATCCTCGGGACGAGGTCATCGCCCAGCTGGAAAGGAGGCTGGCCCAGATGGAGGCCAGACAATCGGCAAACATTCCCACGGCTGGCGCCTCCAACGATCTTGGCCTCAATGCTCTCATGAACAAGGTCAGCGTCCTTGAGAGGGAGTTGGCCGAAGGGCGAGGCGACCCCGTCGTCCAGGTCAGGGTGCTCTCGGCCCCCATCCCGGAGAAGTATAGGGGAAACGCCATCAAGTCCTACTACGGCCGATCAGACCCTCAGGAGCACTTCAGTCGCTATCAGAACAACATGCTGATGGTGAACGCGTCGGATGAATATCTCTGTCGTTGGTTCCTCTCCATTCTTGACGGGTCGGCGTACGAGTGGTTCAACGCGCTTCCCGAAGGAAGTGTAGACTCATGGCAGAACCTTGCCCAACGCTTCCTCACCCACTTTGCCGGGAGGAAGCGTGCGAAGAAGTATTTCACCCATCTCCTCTCTGTCAAGCAGCAACATGACGAACCCCTCCGGTCATTCATTGATCGGTGGACGAGGGAGACCGAAGAGATCGAGGGGGCCGATGAGCGCACCCTCCTCGTCCTCTACCAGGGAGCCCTCCACAGCTCCCCGTATGCCAGGAGCCTCATCACCGACCCTCCGAGGTCATAGGCAAAGGCGCTTCAGCGCGTGAGCTTGTACGCTGATGCTGACGAGATGCCACCCCCACAAGAAGACAAATCCTTCGCCGGCCCCGGGAGCATCCCCGGCCGGCCAGGGTGCCCATGGCCGTCACGGCTCTAGTGGACAAAGCAAGAAAGACCGCCATTGGCCGCCGAGGTTGGAACGGCCGGGGGTCCCCCTCACTCACCCGGTCAGCACTATCCTCGACTATGCCGAGAAGCATGGCCTCATTGAACAAGCTCCTCGCCCGACGGAGGAAGTCCTTGCCATCCAGCAAGGCGGCACTTACTGCCGGTTTCACAAGAACTCCTCACATAACACCGACGATTGCATCACGCTGAAGAAAGCCATCGAGCGCCTAATTCGTCAGGGGGAACTCTCCCAATTTGTTAAAGGTGGCCCGGGGGCGAACCCTCTACGAAGAAGCGGGAGATCGGTAGGCTCAGCGACGACGAAGATTTTGAGGAGCCTCTACCAAAGAAGAACCATATTCACCTCATCGTAGGTGGGAATACCGGGGGGGACTCCGTCACCCAGAGGAAGAAATGGGCCCAATCCCTTTACATTGGGGAGGTGTCCCACGTTCCCCCCCAGCCGAAGAAGCAACGGACGGAGGCGATCACCTTCACCGACAAGGATCTGCCTCCGGGTATGGAGTCACACAGGGACGCCCTCGTCATCCGGTGTGAGATCGGTGACTCCATCATCCACCGCACTTACATCGATACGGGGAGCTCCGTCAACGTGATGTACCTGGACACCTTCAAGCAGCTGAAGCTGGACAAAGCTCCGCTGAAGCCGATCAAGACACCGTTGTCCGGCTTCACCGGGGACTCTATCGACGCTGAGGGCACGATAGTCCTCCCCGTGGAGGTCGGCGACGGCTCCCACCGCGCCAAAATTGACATGGAGTTCATGGTGGTCAACCTTCAGTGCGCCCACAACTTGATTTGGGGGCGGCCAACACTGGAGGACCTGGAGGCCATCATCTCCATGAAACACTTATGCCTGAAGTTCCCCACCAGTGGCGGCATCGGCTACGCAAGAGGAAATCAGAGGATAGCCAGGGCACGCTACCTCAAGCTAACGAGGCCGGACGAAAGGGAAGGGCAGACAATAGACACCATCACGGCAACCGTTGCCAAGGACGA